TAGTAAATACAAAAAAAATGTTGAAAAATTCTAATCTCTCAACTTTTTACTTATTACAATTGATTTTGCACAGGCAAAGGTGGTACTTAAGTGAAAGGAACAGCAATACAATGCGTTAATATAGAAAGAAAGTGAGGTTTATTGTAAAAGAGAATACACTACTGAAAGACACGGAATCTGTTAGCTATTAATTTCAGGGGCAAATCTGCCAGGTATATCCTGTGCTCACTAATATATATATATATATATATATACTGATATAGTTAGTCTGTGATGTACTCAAGGTTTCAGAATATCTCCCTGAATCAACCCAATATTAGTGCAATGGAGGAATGCCATCTGAGGGATAAATCACTCAGTCTCTAGTCTAGTTATTCACTTTTACCTACTCATCAAAGCCTGCACAAGCCAATCAGATTTTTTTTTACCCTTGCTGACGCAAGGTTTCAAATGTTGAACATTGGCAAGAGCTAAATTCACTTTAGCAGTAATCAAGAGGATTTTCATGCTAATCACTACTCCTTGGAAGGCTACGCTAATCACTTATAAAACTTTGCTTAGTTTGACACAAGGCCCCACATGTAGAGCAACTGGTGAAGATAGAACTTTATTCGGTTATAAATCAACGAGACATGATTGTTAATTGTAGCAGAAGTAAGTTTTCTGAGAAATGCAAAAATTGTCACAGCTGAGTAACCTGCACTTAAAAAAACGAATAATGTAAAAAAAATCAATTTATTTGTGTATAGATTAAACACCATTTTGAACATATGATGTTCTTTTAACTTTATCTTGAAACATAAAAATACCTTTTTTTTTTTTTTTCTTCTTTTGAATTGGTTGTCGGGGGTTGTCTAGTTCTCTAGCTTTAGTCTAATGTTGGTAATAGATGAGGCTGCCTGACTATATAAATCTTGATTTTATTTGTTTTTTCCCAACCTGTCTAATATTCCAACCTTTATACTGTCCTCTTTTTGTTTCAAAAACTAATTTTGAATGAATTTTACAACTGCTCCTTTTGTTAAACCTACTCTTTGTTTTTTTTTGTTTTTTTTTTAAGATTATGCATCATCTTGACATCTGCTTAGAACTAGGTCTACAGTCTTAGATTCCGTCTGTCTGCAGTTTTTGCTTTGATTCTAACCACTTTTAATGGCCGTCTGAAAAGATTGAGGAGGCGAGGTTCCAAAAGGAATATCATGACTTTCATTTTTTTGTTTTCTTTTTTATTCTCAATTAATTCTGAACTGAAAAGAACTTAGACTTCAAGTTTATCATTGTTTCTTGCTAATAGATAAAACACTGCAATGCAAGAATGATAACAGATCAAAATTAGTGTTTAACAGTTAGATATACACACAGAGACAGGAGTCTGTTGGGCTTTAATAAAATCAGTGTCTCTCCATTTATATAAAGAATTACAGGAAATGTGAAACATTTTTGAGAGATCATGCTGAGAAGATAAAAATGAAAAATCTTGTGATGACTTTTTTTATTCTATATGAAATATTAACATTATTCGGACTATTGTCCTCATCTTTGTCGCCATATTTATCACAACGTTTCGGCCGTTGTACGCTGCGGCCTTCTTCAGGTGGTTGGAATGTCGAATTGAACCCTTTATTTTGCTCACTGGGGTAGACTGTTCTAGTTCCACGTGCCATGTTTGATGGATGTCAGTTATCAGTTATCTCCTGTTAATTTTCCCTCTGAAAGTTCTCCACTGCCTTAACTGGGTATTGAACTCACACTCTTTGGGTCCTGTCACTGGATCTAACCTACGCCTTTATCCACTGTGCCATGTGTCCTCAAGGACACATGGCACAGTGGATAAAGGCAGAAACGTGATAAATATGGCGGCAAAGATGAGGACAATAGTCCGAATAATGTAAATAATGTACCTAATCTCAGAAATATAGACAGACTATGAAATATTAAATAAAAGTATTAAAAATCAAACTTGAATATTCAGCATTAAAATAGTTGTTCTTAAAAAATATTGAAAAAGAAATTATTTTTAATAAAATGTTAAAATAAGAATGTTTAAAAAATAAATAAATATTAAAATCAGAATATTTGTTTCTTTTATATATATAAAAAAAAAAAAATTGCAGGGAGTGATGAAACAATTTTGAGAGTTCAAACTGTGTAAAAACTGAAGAGAGGTCTTATGACATCTATTGTTAACATTTTTTTTTTCCTTTCACTATTCAGACAACTTTTAAACATTATTTTATGACTTTTTTGTGTTTCTCTATTGTTATCTCTGCTCATAGTTTAACAAATATTGACTTAAGTGTTAATGACTATGGATTTTTAAAAATTATTTATTTTTATGATGAAAGAATTAAATAAATAGAAGTTTATATTTGGATGTTTATTTCTTGCCTATTTGCTGTAAATTGCAGAGACTCGTGTAAACAAATTGAATCCTCAAACAATGGTTGTATTTAGATTTTTTTTTTTTTTTTCCCCTTGTTCTAAACTGTATTATTTCAATTGAAGATAAATTTAATAGAAGCAATTCTTGTATATCTCTCTGCTTTATAAGCTGTAAGGATCCCGGTTACTTGATTATTTTCCCCCTCCTTTGAAATGGGTATAATTAGAAACCGGCTGTAAATTAAAGTGCTTGTCTAACAATCAACCTGAAGAAGAATCATTGTCTTTAAACTTTGTGATTTGTTACTTCCTCAAAGCTCTTATCAGTCAGGTGCAATTCTAATATTAAAGTAAATGAAATTAACTTTTCTCTCTTTCTTTTTAGTTCCTCCTTGTATCTTGTCATTACATATTGTCAGACATGTTCCTTGATTACATATGGATGAAATTCTGCCGAGAAACTTCCTTGGTTCCGTACGGAATACATCCGAGAAAGAAAAGCCTGAATTTCAGTAGCGTATATTTATATATTTGTGATTATAGTTTTGAAGAAGGAAGGATTGATTATTTATGGCTTATCAACCCTTTGCAGGTTATTCAAAGCCAGAAATTATTTTTAGATTGTAAGAATTTTTTGGTGATAATAATTCATTGAGACAAGTCCAACTAATTAACCCATAGTTAGGGGGAGAAGAGGTGGATTCATACATTTCACAAGGGCATTTGCAAGTAATTGAATATGACAAACCCGACTGGAATTGGAACTCGGCTCTCCTATTTGCAAATTGTTATCCATAACACAACTTGCAAAAAAAAAAAAAGGTGACATAAGAAGCATCAGACAGAGGTAGAGTCGTGTATTTGAAACAATTTCAAGAACTTTACTGACTGCAACCATATGCATGCCTGTATTTGTATTACAAGAAAGAAAAATAGTGACATTTTTATCCACTGTAATGGTGAAACAAAGTGATTATTCAACAACCCACTGACACCGCCCCCCCCCCAAAAAAAAATTATGGGTCCAGTACCTTTACTTGGTACCCACCTGAGTATGAGTTTATTTGTTTAAATGGTCATCCTAAGTAGACCAGCTGCATAATGCATCCATGTAAGGAGTCAACTGTAGTCGGGATGCGAATGATCTTTTCCTTAGTTGCATATGTGCTTTACCAGTTTTGAATTCAGTTTTCCTTCTCCTAGACTGGCTACTACTCAAGGCTATAAAACCAAGTCCTATTATTTTACCCATAGCAGGGGGAAGAAGAGTTGGATTGATACTTTTTCCAAGACTATTTGCATGTAAGTGAACATAATAAACTCAATTGGAATTTGAACTTGGCTCTCCAAATCATCGATCTGGTCCACAATCCATTATCCTTATAACATGGGTGGACATGAAAACGGAACAATTTAAAAATAGGCATGGTTTTTTACACTAAAATAGTTAAAAAAAAAATAAAAATATTTTAGATATTTAAATATATATATATATATATAATATATATATATATACACATAAAAATAATACCAAATTTTCAGACATTGTGAAATGAATTTGAAAAATGAGTTTTCATGATCTCTTAAATTTTGCCCCCCCCCCCACACACACTTTTTATGTAAATATTTTCATGGTAATTGTTCTGGTGATCTTTTCTCTTTGGTAGCTCAACTTTATGAATTTAAGTGCAGTACTTGATTGGCAGTTAGGTTTCATTATTTTACAGTTGAAATAGCTTAGGTGTAGCCGTAAGTTCTTTGCTAACAGTTTCCTTTGAACTTCTCACGTGTCAAACTCTTTTGGCTTCTTTGCTTTCCAGTCAACTTTGATCTTTAAAAATTTATATTCAATGTCAATCATCTGTTCTCATGTATTTTCACACACAATAACTCCTGTACATCTTAATGGCTTTATTGCTTTGTTTGCTTTGACATGATTTAAAAAAAAAAAAAAGATTCTAGACATTAAAAAATCACCTTTGTTGACTGGCAATGATATACTCTTTAAATTTGCATCCTTTATCTAATATATGCAGCAGTTTGCCAAATTTGGTTACAGAACCTGAAGTGCTAGATGAGCCATGAAAAAATGTAGTGATGTCATAGTTGTTGTTGTTGTTGTTAATGTAGTAACAACAGCACTAGTCCTAAGTTGTTAATTTGGAACAATAACCTATTTGGATCAAACAGAAGAAAATTTACTTACTATTATTTAAACTTGTATTGTGATAAAACCCAAATCATAGACACTTTTCTTTTTTATATGACTCTTCTTAAAATAATGTTGTAGTGAATGAGAAGAAATGACTTTTGAAAAGAAAAAAATAAATAAATATGGGGGTGGTGGGGGGTGTGAAGAATTCTTAAGAATTGTGAAGGAATCGTTATAAAAGCCTGGTCATCAGTTATACTTCATTTAACCACTGGAATGGTCAGTTAATGGCTGAAGACACCCTAAGATGAATTACATCTCGTGAGATGTTGTTTAATGAAGGGATATGTTGTGGAGAAAATAGTTGGAATCCATTACTGCATAGTACTACAAATGGTATTTGTTCTCTCACAGAAAAAAAAATAAAATAAAAATAGGAGCTTCTGTCTCTGTTAACAATATTCAGAACGTGTCAGAAGCAGTCTGCCTTGCTTTGACTCTCTCTCGACAATAGACAGATCATATGAGAAGAAATCACTCTCTCCCTCTGTCTCTCTCTCCCTCTGTCTCTCTCTCCCTCTGTCTCTCTCTCCCTCTGTCTCTCTCTCCCTCTGTCTCTCTCTCCCTCTGTCTCTCTCTCTCTGTCTCTGTCTCCCTCTCTCCCTCCCCTCTCCTCCCTCTCTCCCTCCCCCTCTCTCCCTCCCTCTCCCTCTCTCCCTCCCTCTCTCCCCTCCCTCCTCCCCTCCCTCCCTCCCTCTCTCTTCCTCTCTCTCCCCTTTCTCCCTCTGTCTCTCTACCTCTCCCCTCCCTCCCTCCCCTCTTTCTTTCTCTCTCCCCCTCTCCACCTCCCTCTCCCTCTCTCTCCCCTCCCTACTCTATCTCTCGCCTCTCTTGCCCAACACTACAGAACATATTAAAAACCATTGATGGCAGCTCCCAATAGTCATGGCTTTTTTACATAAACTGGAAGAAAACGTTTCATTTGATATTAAACTGCATAGTTTCACCCTTTTTAACTGTTTTTATTTTAAGTTTTGTTTTTAGATTTTCTCCTGCACTCTGCAACAAAACTAAGTATCATCAACTTGTTATTAGAAATCATCTTGAAATCTGATCAACTTTTCTCTTTTAGCCAACACTCACTACAAAATATTCTTTTGTAACGTAACTGCAATGTTTGCTTTTTCAACTGAACAAAAAAAAAATGGACGAAAATAGTCCTTATTGCATGTTTACAACTGTTTTATTTTCTACACAATTAATATATAAACAGACTAAACATAATACGTGTAGATATTAAAATATTTTACCTTAAACAAATATGAAATATCTTCAAAATGTGGATCTGCAGATAAGATACAAAGTTGTGTAAACATTGATCAATTCTCATATCAGTAAAGTATCTCAAGTTCATACTGCTATGTCGGGAAAGAATCGTGCACATTTGTTGGACAGCAGTGATCAGGTTAAAGATAACGGTGATATTCAAAGTAGACATTTTTGCTAAAAACACTTCCATATTTACAGCCAGGTTGTGTTTGCTAATTTTGTCAGTTGCCTATTCAGCATTAATACCTGATTGGAACAATGACAAAAGAATTGTTTTGCAGACTCTAGTCTCATTTTTTTTTTATTTTGATTTTTAGGTCAATCTAGAATAAGGTTTGTTGGGTCTGATCTAGCCCACAAAGGGATTTTTGTGCAGGTAGTTACTTAGGGCTTCAAATTAGGAATCAATATTTTTGAGTGCTGAATTATGTAATATCTAATCTTCCATATGGCAGCAAATGTTGGGCAATCTCTTTTTAGATAAAAAGTGGCTTGAAACAAGAGATGTTGTTTTTCCAACAAATGCTTAGAATATTAAGAATTGAACATATGAGTGACAGGGAAGTCTTTTTTTTTTTATAAGAAATGGGCAGGAGGGGACACTGTGTGTAAAGGATTTAATGAGTTTGTGTGAATGGATGCAGAACAGAGATAAAGAAATGGTAAAGAGTCAACAAGAACAGTGATGACAGTAACAAGTTGTTAGGGTAACAAGAGACATGATGGGTTAGACAGTTGTGCTGCCCTCCACCACTTTGGAGATACTTAGAACAGTAAAATCTGCCATCTTACCCCCCGCCCCGCCCTCCTTGATCAATATCGGTCTTAAGCTGAACTTAATAAAACAAAGTGACAATCTTGATTGGGATAATGCTATTGTGTGCGATCTGTCGGGGAGGGATTGCCAAAAGTAGTCAGCAAAACTCTTATAGATCACCTTGTCAACCCGTGACAACCGTCGCGATGTATTCTGTGACTTGAAACAAGTCCGTCGTCCAAGGAGTCGCTATAAGAGTATATTAATATGCAAATTACGGACATCCTATCCCAGCTGTCGATTTATGGAAAAATAGGTTCTGCCGATAAAAGCAGTTGGTGTTTTTGACTGGGAAGGAAAATTGGCATTTTTTGGCTACGGCGTTTTCGGAGTTATTTTCCCTGACGCGTTATAAGTGATTTTCTTTCTTTGTGTTGTGAAAGCCACAAATTTGCTTTGAGAACGCTTACTCTTCAAAAGCATTTTTCAAAAGAGAACAGCAGTTGCGTCCCACTTCAAAGACTTACAAAACATGACCTTTCTGTCTTTATTGTGACACTATTTTAGCATTGCTATAGATAATGAATGTTTGATCTAAAAACAAATCATTGTTGATTTTGTAATTTTTGAGAATTATTAGCATTTTTAAGTATTTCAAAATGCTAATATAAAAATATATGTAAATTAATTTAACCCTAATGTAGGCTGTAACAGTCTCAAAGCATCCCTGGTATAGGCTCAGATCAGCCCAGGATAAGGCTGTAGGGGTCTCAAAACAGCCCTGGTGTAAGCTCAAATCTGCCCCAGCATAGACTTTAGCTGGTTCAAGGCAGCCCCTGCATAGGCTCAAAGTAGCCCTGGCATTGGATCAAAGCAGCCCAGACGTAGGCTTGAGCATTCCTGATTCTTCTACACAGTTCTAACTTGTCTTATTTCACAGAACACCGCATGGCTGTCTGCTTATTTCTTAGAGTGGCTATTTAATCCCTGTTACAGGCATTTGCTCAGGCACATTAGTGTTTCTTCAATGCCCACAGAAACATGTGGTTTATGCTGAAACTATACTTCACTGATCTTAGTATTTGTGAGAGAGTTCATAAGATGTGATCAATAGTTGAGGCCTGTATGTGGGAATTGTCATGATGACTTGTTACCACAAGCACAACCATTGGTTGCTTCCAAAGTTTCATCTAACTAAATTTTGCTCACAAGACTTGGGTCAACTCATGTTATGATTTTCAGACACTTACCAGAGCAGTACCACATGCTGTGACCTGTCCGCAAGCTGACATTATTCCGATGTCATTTTGACAAATTGTGTATGGTGAGATATGAACCCAGATTTCAGTCAGATTACTAATTTAGTACCCCCTTATCTACGTACCACAGGACACTTATCAGAAATTAGCTATCAATGGCTTGGGAGAGGAGTTTACTATCAGTGATCATAGACTTTGAAAGAAAACTGATACATTGACTACAAGGATCATAAAACTGGGTGGAGTATTGGCTTTATTAGAATGGATTCTACAAGAAGACATATACACTGGGCTTAGCAGGCATGTTGACTCTGGGTTGGATTATCTTTTTATGTGTTGAAATTAAGCCAAGCATTAACAAGAGTCGTGATAAGTTTGCCAGAGAAAATGATGGAAACTCTTCCTTTCTTTTATTTCTTAAAGACTCACTCTCTCTCTCACTCACTCTCTCTCCCTCCAACCCTCCAAGCCTCAGCTGATCAATAACAATTTTAGTCATCCGCTTATTACTCAGCGTCTATGACACACCTCCATAGAATTGAACCCGGAACTCGACTGTTGGCAGCTGCCTTCCTTCCTCTGCACCACCTTTCTTCCTTCTTCTCTTTGAGCTCTTCCTCTTTTCCCAGCTTCTTCCTCTCCCTCCCCTTCTCCATATCTTTTTCTCCAGCTTCCCATACTGTCAAAGATCATGATCGGTGCACGGTTGCGAGCCACTCGTCTCTGTTGACTGGCTACTTTGGTTTACTGACTAAATGAACAGCTCCTTACAGACAAAAATTTGCTTTTAAAAATGGTTTTCCAAAAAGAATTCTTTAATGGCATATGTGGTACGTTTATTTGGTTCATTTGTTTTGCTCTCAATTAATTAATATGATTTAATGGGTTTACACACACACACACACACACTTATTATGCACATATTAATATATATATATATATATATATACACACACACATGCAGACATTAATATACTCACACACACTTATATGTGCATGTTAATATATGCATGCACACACATATACCTACACACACACACACACGCGCATATGTTACTTTATCTGTGTATTTGTTTTTCCGTACAGAAATACACGTTGATTTCTGTCGGAGAACACATTTCCTACAAACTTTTTGAGCATTCAGGATGGTAAATGTAATTGATACTGTTTATTTAAAATCAGAACATTTACTTAAATAAATTGTACCAATAAAAATAATGTATAAACAGAAATATATATATATATATATATATATATATATATATATATATATATATATATATAGTTGTAGGGATATGAGTTTGTAACCCTGGGTTTCACGCTTTTGTTATGTTAGCTCTGTCACTGATATTGAGCACTTTCCAATAAGTATCACACACACACATATATATATATATATATATGTGTATGTAACACATGGTCACGTGTGTAGATATATGCACACAGACACATGCACACCAATGCATATAAGTATATATTTGCACAATGCATATAAGTATATATCTACACATGTAAACTATACATTTTTTTTAATTAATTTATATTATGGCATATAAAATAATTATTTATATTTTAATAAGATATATAAAAAAAAAAAAAAATATCTGACACACATGAAGCCGTGGTGAAATTTCCGATCCTGACCATGAAGTTATCACCCCCCTGCCAAAAAATAAATAAATAAATCTGATGTTTGGTCATATTTTTCATATATTGGGAAATTGATTGGGACCAAGGATTTTTCAGCACCTACATATCAAGAGAGAGAGAGAGAGAGGGTCAGTTTCGTTATTTAGTGCCCTTTCCTTTTCTTATACTAAACACAGCTGGTGTTTAAAACTGCAACATTTAGTCAAATAGGAACAGATTTTTATTTTTATTTATAAAGACGTTATTAAAAATTTAAAAAGTCATTATTTTGAGGCACAGCCTTCAATGATAATATTCTCTACTTTTCATCATTTCTTAAATAACTTCTTTTGTTCCAATGTTTTTGATGAAAGAAAACATTTCTTTTTCTTAACTTTGATGTTTGTAAGATAGGAAAAAGTATTTTAATGTTGAAAAAAAAACGTTTTCCTTTTTTTTCTTTCTTTCTTTTTCTTTCTCCCATCACCCCCCCATCAGTGTTCATTCATTCATTTTCTTTTCTGTGTTTTTAATTAATCTTGACGTAAAATATCCATTTGAAAGGAGTTGGAATTTCAGCTCATTATATTAACACAAGCACATTTGGCTAAGGCATGAGTCTGAAATCCCTTATTATTACCATACAATGATGGTTGAACAGTAAGAGCTATAACTCCTTATCTATCCAAATAGTAGTAATAGTAATCAGCTGTTATATATATTGTCAAACTTGACAAAGCCAGATGTCAGTAAATATCTCTCTCTCTCACTCACACACACACACACACACACACACACACACACACTTTATTAAATCCCACTGCCAAAGTCTATTGAATTTTTCCCCTGCTTTTCCTATAAGAAGTTGTACAAAAAGATCGAAATTGTGGAGAAACTTCTCAAAATTCATGTTTTGTCCTGTGTTTTTTTGTTCAAGCACTGTCAAACATCTC